CCCCGGCATGGACAGTGCGTGCGGGCACCGGGCGCTGGGCGGCTCCCTCCTCCCCGGGGTACTCGGGGCCGGCTCTTGTCCCCGGTCCGCGGAGCCGCCCGCGGGGCTGGGGCCGGGGCCGGGGCCGGGTCAGGGCTCCCGCCCGGGAGGAGCCCGGGTTCGGCTGAGGCGGGAGGGTGGGAGGTTTCCGGGGATCTGAGCGCCTCGCTCAGGTCTTGCCCTCAGATCCACCCAACTGCTGCTTGCCCTGTGAGGTTTCCCTCTCCATCCAGATGTTTTTCTTTCCTGCTTAATGAAAGCTGTAGTTAGTACCCAGCCAGGCCGGAAAATGAAGATCTAGACGTTACCGTGAATAAACATCGCTTTCCTGCACAGTACTTTGCTATTCTTTTTCCATTGCCTTTTGGTAGATGAGGCGTTTTGATGGCAGGGGGACTTTGTCTTTAGGTATATCCACGGCTCAGCCTCTGAACCTTTTCCTTCAGTCTAAAATCTGGCACGGGTAGTCTCGGGAGACTCGTAGTTTGCTGAAATTTTCTGGCCGGGCTACTAAACTTGTGTTTTAATTTTGTTGAATGTTGTGATACCTGTTGGTCAGGATCAGCAAGGGATAACACGCTAACGGTTGTTTCAGGCTGTTCTGGTCAAAAAATATAAGACTGTCGTTGCCAGGACTGTAAATACAGAGTTCACTGGCGTGATTGGCTTAACAGCAGAGGAAAATCCGGTCAATAAAACCTGAATATCTGAAAAGCGAAACAAACACCAACCCTCTGCGCATTCCCCTTGGTGTCCCCCAAGACGAATACAGGTATTTGCGAGGGACAGACCTGAACGAGGAATTTATGTGGGAAAGTAAATTCCCCAAACCAAAACGCTGCTTTTCTTTTGATGTTGAGGACCAGATTGTCTTTCTGGGGCAGGAAATATTTTAAAAGTTGATGCGAAACTTTGTTAAATTTAATTCTATTTCTTTATTCTCTCCGCAGAATCGGGCGCAGCTGTCTGTGAATTTTTTTTAAAGGCGGCATGTGGAAAAGGCAAGTAATATTTTTCAATACAATTATACTCGTGGGGGTGGAGGGCAGAAACTAGATTTTCTAGCACTGTCTACAGTACTCTTGTTTTTTGTAAAGATGAGGGGATAACCCGGATAGAGGCTAAAACTGAAGGATGTTGGAATAACTGCAGCAATTGTGAAATAATGGTATTTTTTTAAGAACTGGGGAGGTGAATAAGCAAAGCTACTGGTAAAAGAAGGCTTGAACTTACCACACGCAGACCTTGCTGTGGATGTGCCGGTATTAGTTGCTGTGGTTCGTGCTTGCCAGGATTAAGAGCTGGAGACTACGTTGCTTAGCTCATTAGAGGGTAGCATCAGACTTGTCTGGAACTCCCTTGTTTGCCATTGCCACTGAAGGCTAAATTTGTAAGAAAAAGCCATGTTTTCTGACACCCTTCTTGCAGAAAGGAGCGAGGTGTTGCTGTTGTCCTGTGCCTTCGTGTGCCGCGGATTTTAATTGTTCTTTTTTTTCCCCTTCTTGTCCCATCCTTCTGCAGGAGGCATGTGCCCGTTCCGACACATCAGTGGGGAAAAGACAGTTGTTTGCAAACACTGGCTACGAGGACTGTGCAAAAAGGGAGACCAGTGCGAGTTTCTGCACGAGTACGACATGACCAAGATGCCTGAGTGTTACTTCTACTCCAAATTTGGTAAGGGGCATTGTAGCTCCTACTTAGCGTTCCTTGCTGGCGTGGGAGTCTGGTGAAGAGAATCCTGGTACATCCTTCTCATCCGTCTTCAGAGCATTACAGTTCTTCTGTGTCTGATGATATTGTTAGATGGTGCTTTTTCAGATCTGCGTAGTCCTTCACCTTATTGTCCCCCTAAATTTGTGACGTATTGTAGATGTCTCCTCTCTCAAGAGCTTGTCCCTTGGGGGAAGAGGGGGGAAGTTCAAGTTTTTACTGGGTTTTATGCCTTACGTTCTGTTTTGGGTGTGAGATGAGTAGGCTGAGCAGTTGGTCTTTGCATGACTCTTATTTTGGGGAGTTGATGAGCAGCAGAGGGCATGGGGGTGCAAAACTTTTATGCACTTGCTTTCCAGCTCTGGAGATCTGGACATAATGAGGCAACTTGCTGTCAGAAACTTACAGTCTTGTAGGTTTCCTTGGATTGAGGTTAGTGCGCAATTTGTAGTTTCTCCACACTTCTGGTGCACTAAATGTTTGGTTTTTGTTATCATGACTGCTCTTTCAAATTTAGTTGCCGCATTGTTTTTAAAAGCACACATAAATAATCCAGTCTGGTAGAACTTTACTCACCGGGGGTGAGCCCTTGGTGTTCTTCATCTAGGTTAAGGCAGGCAGTAAGACTGTTGTGCCTGAACTTATAAATGTTGGTAACAGCTTTGAGGGAGCTACATGATCCAGGTAATGTTTTGGGAGTCATTTGATCTCGAACCTGCACAATTGACTAAGAAGTGTGTTTGCCTTTGGTACAGGGGAATGCAGTAACAAAGAATGTCCATTCTTGCACATTGACCCGGAGTCTAAGATCAAAGACTGTCCCTGGTATGACAGAGGCTTCTGTAAACATGGTATGTATGTCGCACAGTTGCTGCTTCTGTGGCTATAAATCAAGGGTAGGGTGTTGCTATTCTTTCTTTGCGTGATCTGCTTGTGTACCTGCTACTGCTGAGTGCTGGGGCACCTATATGTGGAACGTGAACTACCGAGCTTTGTGTTGCAGGTCCCCTCTGCAGACACCGACACACTCGAAGAGTCATTTGTGTGAATTACCTAGTAGGATTCTGTCCGGAGGGGCCTACCTGTAAATTCATGCAGTGAGTATGCTTCCAGGCTTGTCCTGTCATCTTGTGTTGCCCTTGTAATCTGGTATGTGTCAAACGAGGGTGCTCCCGTGCTTCCCAGTGGCTTTGGAGATTTGGCCAACATCTAGTTTGTTGTACCGATTTGAGGATATGGGGCAGGGCCTCCTCAGGGAGTTACCAGTAAGACTCTGGAGTGGTGATCAGATGCCATCAGTGCAGTGGGATCACATGGGTTTATATTCCAGAATATTTCACAGGTAGAGGGATATACTACATACTGGATTGTCATTTTTGTATATGTAATTGCTGAGCATCAGAATGCAAAGAGAATTGGGGAGGGGGAGATCTGTTTCCTGTGAGCCGAATTTAATTGGCTGAATGTCTGTTTTGTCATTTGGAGTTACTTGACTGAGCTGATGGTAAAATGCTGGCATACGATTTGAGAATCAATTTTCTTGTTTCCATCTAAACCAGCCCTCGGTTTGAACTGCCAATGGGAACCACAGAGCAACCACCGCTGCCTCAGCCGACACAAACACAGCAAAAGGTACACGGTTCCCCTGCCTCCCCTACACACCCACCCTCGAAGCATTTCCCACGGTGCTTTAAAAGAGGGTATATTGTCCAGTGGTCAGAACTGGACACCTGGGCTCTTGGATCTGGCTTGCTGGAAAGCCCTGAGTGAGGGAAAACCTTTCCTATTTTACAACAGGGCGTGATACTCTTTTGTGATTAAGAACTTGGAGACAAGTCCTAATAAACCGCAAAGCACTGTCCCTTCTCTCTTCCTCCCAGCCCTCTAATGTCCACCATCTGATCGCAATGGACTGCTGCTGCCTTTGTCCTGGGACCGTGGTGTTTTGCTTTGTTCTGGTTCTCCCCTCGCCTTGGTTAACCTTCATTAGTACTATCCTCCAGCTCAGAGGCCAGCAGTGGCAGTTCTGTTGCTTGGGGCACTGCCTGGCAGGGAGGGTGCTATGCAAGAATTAAGCAGTGAGCAACCCTGAGTGCCGCTGTAGTGATGAAAGCCCTACCATTGCTCCAACTTTACATGGAGATCTAGTCACAGAACGCTCCCACGTTACATGGAAGCACATCGTATGTGGTTGTGCAGCAATCTGCCAGTTTTTGTAATCTGCGTGACATCTCTCAGTGATGGCAATGATATTTTAGCAGCCTAAACCTGCTCTCTAAGTCTGCTTTCCAGAGAAAAGCAGGATCGCTGGGCTTTGTAAGCCTCAGTGCTTGATTTCTTCTCTCTGGTGCTCCAGCTGGCAGAGCACCCACACACAGATTTGGAGGAAAATTGATCATTTGATATATGGGGTGCTCTTTTCCCTTCCTAACAAAATAACAACCATAAAGGTCTTTATCCTTGATGCACTTAATAAGTCACAACTCTTCTCCTAACCCACAGAGGACACCCCAAGTCATCGGAGTCATGCAGTCTCAAAATAACAACAGTGGGAACAGAGGACCCCGGCCGTTGGAGCAGGTCACCTGCTACAAGGTAATTCAGAGGGGAGGGACGAGGAGGGAAAGCAGAGGGTGCTAGATTTAAGAAGCGCAGAGCGCACGTCACCTGGACTACATCATGCTGCTTTGCTGCTGGCTGCCTGTCACGGGCAGAGGAACGGACTGTTGTGATGAGGGGTGTCGGTCCTGCAAAAGGCGCTTTCACGGTGTGAACAGGTTCACGAAATGGTGCAGTCTGCTCAACAGACGTTGCATTTTGCACGTGGATTCAGCTGTGGGAATTAGCATTGAGTTCTGAGGCCTCTAGGTCGCTGGTTTGCCAGCTCATGGGCTTGCTGTGACAGTTAGGGCTGCTGTAAGACAGGCTTTGCTTGTCTGCTAATAAACAGGAAGCCCTACCACAATGACAGTTCAAGGAGACTGACAAACTGTACATTTCCAAGTAAGAGCTAATACTAGTTTTGTCTCATGAGTTAATTTGCTTATACTTGGTGACTGTAGAAAGATTTTCTTCTCCCCTGTTAGCATGAAAGGTCCTTGCGAGTAACAGAAATTGAATATGCAAAGACTGTTCAGTATCTCGGCTGTAAATGCACCCTGTCACTGTCAAACCACGGAATGAGCTATTCACCTTGGCTGCTCGTTGAGGAGCACCGGTGAAACCTTGACACAATTGCGTTTCCATCTCTATTTTTCTACAAAAGCCCCAACCCTAGCCACTAGAAAAGGGCAAAGAATCTTCCTGTCCCATCAGCTTTGACAGTTACATCGTTGCACATGGCAACTTCTGTGCCTTAGGTGCTTGTTTGGGTAAAAATTACTGTGATTGGACAGGGATGTTAAGTAGCTGAATCCATTTCACTGAAAACCTTTAATAGCTGCTTATTATTTTAGCTGCAAGTAAATGGCGTATCTAGAGAATGCTGTAGCATCAGATACTGGCATTTCTCTCTGGGCTTGAATAGCTTCAAGGTGCAAAGTCACGGATCTGTCGTTCAGATGCGCTTTTTGCTGTCTAATTCAGGATAGCCGATCAGGAGAGTCCCCACGTACCTCTGATGTAGTGCGTGTCGGATGGAGTAGTCTTGGAAGCCTCAAACATTGAAATTCTCCTTGTGTGTTACAGCCCTTTGCCGTTTGTAGTGATGGGCTGAGGGCTCTCTCCTTTGTGGCGCGTTATAATAACATGGCGTCAGGTTGACTCCCAGCACAGAAGCAGCTTTTGCTCCAAGGAGTAGAAATAGCCCATAAATCATGTCCCTTGTGACACCACGTTTCACTTCACCTGCTAAATGCTGCATCTTCCGTATGTGGAAGAGATTCCAAATCAGAACAGTTGCCGGCTACCTTAATAAAGGCAGCTAGAGGAATAAAGCTGTAACTGTGTAATAATTCCTCTCTCTCTTTCTCTTTTAGTGTGGTGAAAAAGGTCATTATGCCAACAGATGCACCAAAGGACATCTGGCCTTTCTCAGTGGACAGTGAAAGAGCAGGACGAAGAGTGCAAGGGAGCTATTAACACTGAGAAAAGGTTTCTGCCTAGCACTATGTCTTGAACTATTAATCAGGTTGTTTTTTAATGCCATTACTGAAAGAACTGGTCAGAGGCTGGCTGCTGCTAAGCAACATTTTTGTAATTGTCCACAACTTTTTTTTATGTTTTAACCTTTTTAAAATAGATTTTGGCCTCCGCCTATTTTCATTGAGCCCTGCTGAAAGGTAGATCTAAAAGCCAATAGATATGCAAACCCCGCACCGGTGCAGCACTCTACATAATCGCGTCTTACGCCAGTGTTTCTTTAAAGTGTTTTCCTTCTGCCACTTCTCTTTGGAAAACCTGCAGCGTTTCAGCCCTCCCTGTGGAAGCAGGAAGACTGACTGGGAAAACTAATACTTGAAATGCCTTCCCTTCAGTGAGGAAGCAGGGATTCTGCTGTCCTGTAGCTCTTAAAAAGCAAAGTCGTGTTCCCGGGTCCAGCCTGTTGTAGTCAGTAAGCTTGTCCTGGTGGCTGACTTAACGCATCACGTACATCAGGCTGTAAAACTCTCGTCCACTTGCTTTGTTTCTGTGCTTCTTGCTATACTGAAGGTTAGAAATTCATCTTCTGGGTGAGAACCGGTCAAGGGGAGAATAAATTGGCATCTCTGTGGTTAGCCAAATGATGAGGAACAATGATTGTAGGAAAGCTGCATCTGTGCTCATTTTCCATTTGCAAAAAGCAAGGGGGGAAATGAACACGGCTTGAAGAGTAGGAATAGGAGAGCCTTGTCTCGGTGCCCCCGTCGTCCAGCTCACACTGAGCAGGTATTTCCATAGCCTAGAGAAGACCAAGAAGTGGAGATGTATATTCTTATGGAACACTGCTTTTAAAAGTGATAGAGCATTCTTCTGAGCAAATTTTGCAAGCCAAAACAAAAATTCATTTTGTGAGAAGACTATTTCAAAAGGGCCAATGATAAAATGCGAATTAAAAAAAAAAAATTGCACCTACAATATGAGCCTTATTGATTCTAACCCATCTCTCATTTGCTGACTGCCTTTATACTTTTTTTTTTTTTAATTGAAATGTACTGATTGAAAAAGCTGGCTGTGAATTTATTTTTTAAGAACAAGGTAGTATGACTAGATTAAGAGAAGTGACCGGAGCCTACGTTGGTTTGAATGACTGCGGTTATTTCACTGTGGAGAGTCGGAGTCAGTCAAAATAGAAGTTTGAAGTCTAAGCGACTATGGTGTGACAGACCATCAGACGCTTCTCGTAACACGTCGTGCCCCCAGAGGCTGAACAGCGGCCAAGCTGCGAGATGCGTTAATCTGGCACACGGAAAGGGAACTACACCACTTCGGTGTCCGGCTACCTTCCCCGTCTAGTTCAGGAGTTTATGGTCTTCACTACCTGAACAGACATTTCCCAAAACTAAAAGCCTTCCAGTTACCACTGAAGCTCTTGAGAGATTCTTCATACCCCTGAAGAAGTGGTTTTCATTCTCCCTCCTATTCGGGAAAGGATGCTGCGGGTTCTGCCCGCAGTGCCCGGCTGCAGTTTCAAGTGTCAGCAGGCGGGATGCACTCGCCCGGAGGGGTCCATGAGGAAGGTCGTCAGCTGGGGCCAAACCCGCAGATGCTCCTTTAAGCTGCATTTCTGCACATAGTGCCCCCTGTTAAACTTCTCACCGCTGCATTTAAGTCAAGAAGCAGTTTTCTTTTAGTTTAACTTCACAGACCTTTGTTATATTAAAGGTCTTTTAAGCTTATACCCGTTCACATAACCTTCCAGCTTTTTTTAGTAATGAAAGTAGGTAGAGTTGTGATAGAAATGGGTTATCAGAGGTAAGAAGCATTAGAATCCCGGTGACAGAATGAGAGTTGCAGACCTCCTTAAAGCTAAACCGACCTCATCTGAGGCAATGCTCTGCAACGATGGGAAACTGCCCAAATACCTGCAGTCCCCGGGTGACAGCCTGACTGGGAATCAGAAACACGTGGCCACGCCAGCAAGCCTCTTGAAGCTCCGATACTGTTCTTTCAAATCAAAATATTATATCCTTCAGTTTTCCAACCTGCACATAATGGCCGTTAAGAAGCAATCCAATGCTTTTGACTTTTATCAAACAGTTAAATAGGAATCAATTGCAGTAGCTTCCCCAGTTCATAACGCAACCCAAGTAGCAGACGCTTTCCCCACCATCTCTGAACTTAACCTTGAGGGGTGAAACTCTAAGATGACAAACTCACTGGCACAGTACAATTAACAAGTCAGTTACGAGAGTGTCAGCCCAGTAAATGTAAAGTGTATGCACTTTATTATTGGTCATAATAGTACAGGCTTTAGTAGTCCTGATGTTTTCTGTCAGGGTATCTGTTCCAGTAGCCAAGTCTGTTCAAGAGCTTCACGTTCTGAAATTCACGCTTCAGTGGTACTTCCTGTGGCGGTCGTGTTCTGTATCATTCAAAGAAAAGCAAGTTAATTTTACTGAAGTCACAAGAAAAAAAAACACCACACCTGAAGTTACAGGAAAGAAAGCACTCTTAAAAAAAAAAAAATCTGAGCATGAAGTTTCTTAACTGACATGACTAATGACAGTACTTAACTGTCAGGTCAGACAGGCAACAAGATCTACGCTTTTCATCACCAAGAAAACACTGGTCATCTGATAACCTACTAAAAGCATTCGAGTTCTCTGATGAAGTCTGCTTGCCCACAGTCCTGGATTCAAGCAGCAATGGCTAGCAGAGCCTTTCATTTTATTTCTAAAAGCAGCAGATTAATAGTTTTTATTGCCCCACACAATCTTCCCAGCTGCACTATACACGTTCAGCCATACTGCTGTTACTTACTCAGGTGACTGTAGCTCCAGATGTAGCTGACAACAACATAACCAGCAAGCACCATGGAGATACCACCGAGGCCCCCTTTCTTGACGTTGATATATTTATTGTAGTATCTGTCATAACCTGTGTAGGAGAAAAGTTTTCATAGCAGCCAGATGAGTTGCGTATTTTTCTGTGTCGGAGAGAAGCAGCCCGGTTTCACAGAACTTCAGGGAATTGTTTCTAATGGAACATCGGAGGGTCTCAGAAGCAAGTCTGAGAGAAGGCAACCTGTGTGTTAAGTTAAGCAAGGTGAACTCAAGTTAATAGCGCTAAGCCTTAAAAAAAAAAAAGGGAAAAAAAAAAAGCCATTTATCATTTTTCCCCTAAACATTATTGTGACTTTCATGAGCTCGAGCTGCTTTGGAATTATCTAACTCTTTCACACTAGTGTATATACATTACGTTGACACTTGCATTTGGTATTTTGTGTTTAAATCTACCTGAATGCCGTATCTGTACAGCAAAGGGCATCGGTCAAAACTTTTGCCAAGCCATCTATAAAAGCCCTGTGTCCTTTCTTATCATCTTTAGGGATCGCTTGCATTTTTTTTTTTTTATTTACTTGTGACGCTGGGAAACCTCAAGATTTTCAGCAAATAGGTTCAGGTGCCAGAAGTAAGGTCACCGTATTTCCTCTTTACACAAGAAGGAATACTGAAAACAAACCTCTGGCGGATAAAGCCCATACGAGAAACTAATTTACAGATGGGAGGACAAAATGCTACAGGAGGCACTGTTCCGGGAAAGCAAAAATCGCCATGAAGCAACCCTCGCACTGCCGGATCCCCCCTGCCACAGCCAACTTCCACGCAGGCAGGCAGAGATGCTTATGCACCGATCTGCCCGGCCCCGCCAGGAGAAGGGATTCACACCCTCCAGGTCTTCGCCGGCTGAGGGGGCGCGGAGCTGTTGCCGCAGGGCGGGCAGCCCCGCCGCGGGCCCCCCCTCAGCCCCCCTCACCTCTTCGCACGGCCCCCACGATGCCGCCGGGGGTGAAGTCTCTCATGGCCAGCCAGCCGGGCAGCGGGCCCACACCCACGCCCAGCAGGCGTAAGGA